GAGGAATCATTCGGGAATACTCTTTGATCAATGATAGTTCAGAGTGTGGGCCTAAGGATGTAGACTTATGTATGAAGGAAAGAGGCACATCTATACTCATGTTGTATGAACTTAAAACCTATTAGTGATAGTGCAAAGCAGCGATCAAAAGCTAGTGGCTCAAGTTGTAACGAAATCAGGTGAATGAAAATCACTATCAGTCTTATGTTTCTCAGACTGCAACAGTTGTAGCTAGAGGTGTAAGCCGACAAGTCGATCGGAGGCGGCACTGAAAAATTTTTAATTTTTTCAAATCTTCGGCGGCTGCTAATTCGAGTCTGTAGGCTCTTCAGTGGTGGCGGCTGTAAAAAAATAATTTTTTTAATGTTCACGGCGGCGGCGGCTGGAAATTTCGAAATTGAATAATTCTTTAGATGAAAAGAAATGCCTGTTTATTTCAATATCTGATTACTAATAATTTCAAAAACCTAAATAAAATAATTGTATGTGTACTTTGCACGTTAGTTTAATTCAGACATTACATGTATGCAATATGGAGAGGAGTAATGAATTACTACTCTCGCTTTGCCAGAAATTAAGAGATCTAATGATTCCAAAGAAAGACAGACTTAATTGATGTATATCAAGATGTCAAAAAGCTTTCCGCTTTAGTTTTTAATGATAGAGTCTAAAAGACTATCTCTACAAAACATTAATTTTGATCCATGTCCAAGCTGTTGTTTTAATTCTGCAGCTTTTGTTGTATAACGGCTTGAAGAAAAGAGGGAGAGTATATGCTAATTTGTTGGTTTGGTTTGCTTAGTTTCTATCACTTTATGGATTACCAATAAGGGATTTGTCATATTGCCTGTGCCTCATGCATCACTGTAAACGCTACATCTTTTTTGATTGAGGATGAACTATCATATATTTGTTCAGATTTTTACGTATCGATGCAAATTTTGCAATAAACTTGTTGAATATATAACATTTCATTCACTCTTTTGTGCATGTAACGCAGATGACAACAAACAAATTATTTATTATCGTTTCAGTACATTCAGTGGCTTTATTAGAGTAAAAAGACTTTTATTAAAGTTATGAAACCTCGTTATATCGGGTAATAGATTCAGATACACATCAAACTCAAACCATCAACATTAATAAAAGTGCTTTACACTTCTATTGTTCCGGATACACAGTATTACTGTTTCGTAGATATAAACAACCGAAAAAGTTAAGAAGAAATTTAGCGATTCAAAAATAAATTAAAATAGATAAAAAGTGTTTTCCGCATTCAGATTTCGGCGGCGGCGGCTTAAAATTTCAAAAATTGCTCTTACTAACAGCGGCGCAGCGGCTGCATATGCTGTTGCTCAGCGACGGCGACGGTGGCTCAGCCGAACGGCTTACACCTCTAGTTGTAGCTATATGTTTTCGGAAGCAATACTGGTGGTTGAAAATATGTCCATATTTAACTTTACGCTGCAGGAACGACAGTCACAACAAATAGCACAACTACAGCAACAGGAAGCACAGTATCAACAACGGCAAGTACAGCATCGACAACAGGAAGTATAGTATCAACAACAGGAAGCACAGTATCAACAACGGCAAGTACAGCATTGACAACAGGAAGTACAGCATCAACAACGGCAAGTATAGCATCAACAACAGGAAGTACAGTATCAACAACAGGAAGTACAGCATCAACAACGGCAAGTACAGCATCGACAACAGGAAGTACAGCATCGACAACAGGAAGTACAGCATCAACAACGGCAAGTACAGCATCGACAACAGGAAGTACAGCATCAACAACAGGAAGCACAGCATCAACAACAGGTATAGCTGTATTTTTTTCGTGAAAGTGTATAAGACTATGATTTTCGTTCTTCTCAATGGTATGGAAGCATCTATGGCTTGATAGTTTTGCATGGAAGAACTTGACGCATTGATAAAGACCGAGAAATACTTTTAGGCTCTTTGGCTCAATACAACAAAAGGAATTCAATTAGAGACTTGCACGGAGTTATTTTCAGAGTAGCCGTCAGAGTCAATTATTTTCTCGCGAAAAATTTAGTTTCAGCATGGGAATCTTTTTGACTAACAGATTCTGTTCTCTAATATTTAATGCATAGACTGACGCATTTTGAAGATTTTAGGAACATTTGATCAAGATCAATGAACATGAAAGACAGTTGGAGTCGAAATCTGACTCCGACTTCTTTCATGTTCATTGACCTTGATCAAATGTTCCTAAAATCTTCAAAATGTGTCAGTCTGTAAATTAAATATCAGAAAACAAAATCTGCCAGTGAAAAAGATTCTTATGCTAAAACTAAATTTTCGGCAAAAAATTTAATTAACTCCAATAGTGTCTTCGAAAATGACTCCGTACAGATCTCTAAATTCAATCCCTCGAATCTTTCAGACGGTGTATATCGCAGGGACGGAGGTCATTACTAAAAATTCTGCCATTTTCATCAATATTTCGCTTGACTACGATCACCAAATAACTTATAATCATGACTGTAGTTATGTTATAGGATAATACATGAAAGCCATTATCGCTTCTCGCTGTAGCATTGTACGCAGAAAACCAATATTGAGACACTATATACTAGTGATAATTAGAAACGTTCTTGAGCATATGCAAAAAACTCTTGCAGAGCAATATCTGAGACTTCGAAGTGTTAAACAAGACCCATCGATTGCATTAACAAACGAAAACTCTAGACACATCAGTCATCATAATAACGGGTGCTTTGTCATTTGTAAGTATTTGTGACTGTCTGTGATGCTATTAGGCTTCATCCTTTTTGTCTGTCACAGCATGTGGGTGAAGATAAATAACGATACTCATACGCCCAAATTGTACTAAACAGAATATTTTGATTCATGTCTTGCAATCGTTGTACAACATTTTTACTTCTTTTTAGTATGCCAAATTAAGAGGAGTGCCTCGAGTTATCACTCGACCATTTTATGATTCAACGGATTTCCCATGATTATCGATGTTAGAGAAAGATAGATTATAACAATGATAGACATAATGGTATGATCATTGAACAGCAATGAGTGACTAAGTTCCTGCAAGAACCTATTATAAATGTCATAATCCTTTTGTAAGCTGAGCTCATTATTTAGTCAAATCTTACAAAACACGTCAAAGAAAGGATAACCTTCAGATATGAAAACTAAAACATATCACATCATGAGAAAGCACTATCAATGTGGAACATAAAGAGCTAATAGTGGCATGGACAATTACGGCGAGACGAGCAATAAATTTATTCGCATGCATAAATTTAGTGTTATTCGTACTGTTTATGACACCACGTTGCTGCGTACGATATTTGCACTTTAAATAAATGCTTTACAGATGAGGATGAAAACGGACGTATGAGCACAGACCGTATCCATTATGTAAGAGTGAGAGTCAATATACATCACAAAAGAAGCAAGATCTTGTAGATCATGGAATACTCACCCTTATAGATTCCTAAAGGCCTGGCGCTACTTAAGTTGATTCTATGTGATTACTAAACCATGATCTGTCAGAACGGATCTCACATATAAATTTCTCCTATGAAAAAAATTTTTCAAATTTTGATGCTTTTTTTCTACGATTCGTTTGTCTCATGAACTTCATATTAGAGGATTAATTCAGCTCATTGGTATAACTTTTGAAAAAAACATTTTCTTTTTTCACATTACTAGATGAAGGAACATGAATAAGAAAGATGATCGACATCATAGGAATAACTGGTATTCACAAAGCTTGAAAAAACTGCTAAGTAAACTAAATAGAGCAGAAGCAAAATAATTTTACACAGAAGTTTCATAACTCAAGAATATCAATCAAGTATCATAGTCATATTTGCTGTTCTCAATTGCGACAATAATCCATTGCAATCAACTATGCCAGATACAGGTTTAGACATTTGAGTATGCAAAATGATATGAAAAAAAAAATTTGTACAGAGTTCTGTTGAAGACATTGTACAGCATCCCGTTCTCAATCCGATGATTTTCTTCAAGTATTCTATTATGTTCATGTCTAGCATGAAACTGGACATTATTAAGAAAGGAAATCAATTTTTTGTGTCATTTTTAAAGCATTCACAAGATTATCTTTGAAAAATGAGAAGCATTATTATTTCATTTGGTCACCAGCAGAGTAATCCAAGAATAAAGCATGATTCCTATTGTGCAATGATAACACTGTAAAAGATGTTTTCTTGGATACCCGTTGTATATTGGTGCGTCAGTGCTTTTACTGAAAACAAAGCCTTTTTATCAATGTAATATTAAATATATCGGTCGAAGTCTCGTAGAAATTCATTGTTTTTTCCTATGACACTATGTTCCATATAGACGCTACAAAATTCAAAAAACAATCATATGGTTTCGATTTCTACGAAAGTCGTTCTTTTGCTAAAGTCAGCTAATATTTATAACGTTGGTCTATTGTCGGCTTTCTATGATCAAAAAAGAAAAATATCAGCACGTAAAACATCAATTTCAAACAGAATCTCGAAACTTTAAATGATGTGTCATTCTAGGTAAAGAGTTTGATATGGGATAAAATCTATGCATTGATTTGTAATATTTTCAATGTAAAATATATAATAATAGAGATATAATTGCTAGGAAAATTTTACTCTCCACCAACAGGAACAGCTTCAAGTACTATTCATACGAGATTAGAATAAGAAACATGGTGGAGTTAACTGATTCATGATCAAAAAACTTTATTACTTCCATCATAGTTTTACAAGTGACAAAGACATGCACATCAAATATTTCTATCACTGGCATAGACTGTGACAGACTTGACTGAGTTTTTTTTTGCTAAAACTTCAACATTCATTACTAGTCGTTTTTAAACAACGTCGTCGATTGAAAAGAAAAAGTCTTTTTCATAATTAGATCTTGAAGGCATCATTCTGAAAAATGAGACCTGCTTAAGTTTTTAAACATTTCAGTTCTCGTAAGGGAGAGAAAGTTCTTTTCTTATGCTTCTAGTTACGGCTGTTCCACCATGTACGCCCCAGTCGAGATCAACTGGAACATTGCTTAGCGTTACCAATCCAACGTCGTCCAATTATCCGACTTACACTTGTTATGCATACACTTGGGTGGCCACTGGATCATCAGCAACATTATCCTTTTTTTTTCGTCATGATCCCGGTGGTTGGATGCTAGACGACGTTAAAGTTTATCACGGTTTAACACAACTAATTACAAATGGGGGATTTGAAAACGGTGCTCTAAATGAATGGATCTATTCAGGTTCATGTAACTATAACACTGGTGTGGCGTACTACCAAAGTAGTTATGCTAAATCGGGAAACTATTACTATTACGATCGGTGTGCAAATTATGGCGACACAATAAGCCAAGCTTTTCCAACAGTTGTCGGTGATACATATGTTATTAGTTTTTGGCTAACAAACTATTGGTGTTGTGCAACCACCGAAATTGCTAATATAACGATAATATGAGAGACGGATGGAGTTTTAAAAACTCACCTCTTTTTCTATTAACTTTTTTCTTCGATTAACATTTATTGATTCTTTGATTCTTTTGTAACGTTGTTGCTTGTATGAAAAGATCAGCAAAACATATTGAGCGTGTGTACCTTTGGGTATGAGACCGTGTCTAGGTAGGTGAGAGTTTTCTCTTTATCTACAAATAAATTCCAAAGTGCTTCATACTACACACAGACACACTCATCATACGAAATTGTTTGTTTGCTAAAAATATGTTCAATATGAATTTTCATGTCGCATTTTCATCCATTTTTTAATAAAGCGAAATTTATCAGTTTCTCCTATGACAAAAAAATGTTTTCTAGTGCAACCTTTCGTAGAGCTTAAATTTAGAACTCACATTCAAGCGTGCTCGAATATGCGATACAAGTTTTAAAGGCAAAAAAATTTCTTTTGAGAACAAGAACGGATTGCATTGAATGCATCTGGCTATTCTTGTTGATTTCAGATTTTTCCTGAATTCTTTGATTGTCTAAGCACTCATTGTTCTTCTGCCGTTGTTAATGTATTACTCTTGGTCATTTTTGGTAAGTTACTTATAGTTTGTTTTTGGTTTTGATTGAATTATTTCATTCATTCCGCTACCACTTAATGTCAATAGACCCGACCATACACCAGAAGTTTTCTTTTGAGTTCAAACAATGATTCTAGTGGTTTCAGGTCAGTTTTTGGTTATTTTCACTCAACGATACTTACTTTCAGTATGTCTAGCTATGCTGTGCTAGATATATCAGAATGTTACCCATCATTCATGTCTGACTCTATTATGGTAGATGCTGAGGCAATGTGTAATTTTGATCCTTAGAACTTCGTGATGGGTCATTATTTTTGAATTTTATTTAAAAAAAACTTGTGAATATTTCAAGGTGACTACTAGTTCATTGTCAACACAATTGACAAGTAAAAGATACAAAATAAAATAACTGTTCGCCTATTCTTGCTTTGCTTTCTTTCGCCTTCTTTGCTTTAACATTGTACACTACAAGAGCAAATGTTTCTCCGCTGGACATTTGAATTTTAAAGAAAAGAAGAGAAAAAAGAATATGTTTATACATACTTGATTTTGTAGTTTTTACTGATCAGCTATGTTGATGATGAACTATAAGTCATCTTGAAGTATTCGCCGTTTGTTTAAATAAAATTTAAAGGTAATGACCACTGAACTCTTATGCTTGATTTTTAGTTTGTTTATGCATATTTCACCGAGCAGAATGCATATTTTTGAATAGATCACTAACACTACAAAGTGAAAGGAGGCACATCTAATTCTCAAAAATGTACAATTTTGTACTAAAACCCAACAATAATTTTTTTGATGCCTTTCGAAACCGTTTCAGACCGTTACTGGCAGTTTTCTCTCTCTCTCTCTCAGCTATGCGTTTAGGAGAGAATAAAAGTATTTAGTTAAAACTCTTCCACCCATCGTAACACGACTAGTTTTTTGACAGAATCTTTGCTGACATCATGATCTGATGTTGAAGAACCATTAGTAGCAATATCAATGACAGAATCCATATTTTTGCTTTAAATCAAAGAAATAATAACAATTAATCAACTAGTGTTAGTAAATATAGAAACACTGAGGGTGGGTTAGAGATCTGCACGGAGTCGTTTTCGGAGTCGCCGTCGGAGGCAATGAATTTTTTTGCTGAAAATTTAGTTTTAGCATAATCAATTTTTTGACTTGCAGGTTTTGTTCTGGGTGTGGGTGTGGGTGTACATGAATAAACAGCTCACAGCCACAGCCATCCACACGCACAAGCACACCCATACCCACACCCACACCCACACCCTCATGAAAAGAGATGAACCGAGCCCGTGCCAACCGTCTGGTGATCTCGGTATCGATAGCTATAAGCCTCAGTCACGATTAATCTCACGATGGAAGACCACCAAGTGTTCAATCGCTTTTTCGTTGAAACTACATGCATTATGTAGCTCCCAAGGAGTTATGAATACGCTGAAAATATTTTGGGCGGATAGCCTATTCTTGCGAAAATAGGCCATTTTTATGGTATTTTTTTATGATTGCTGTACTCCCCCTCAGGAACATTAGAAAAATTGATTTTCGAATTTTGATTTGAAATTTTATATAGCAGTAGACCTCAACGAGAATAGTGTTGTATGAATGTTTTTGGCCATTGAATTTGTTTTTTTCATAAAATTTGCCACTTTATTTGAAAGATGTAAAATAAAAATTTCGCAATACCTGTGTCTAGTGATAGGAAACGTAGAAAGGTTTGAAACGTTCATAAAAAGTTGTTTTCCGTAGGGCGTCTTTCTATGTAAAGTTTCAAGTCGAAATTCAAAAATCAATTTTTTTAATGTTCCTGAGGGGGACTCCAGGCTCTCACTAAAACCCATACTTTAGAAATGGTCTATTTTCGTAACAATAAGCTATTCGCCCAAAATATTTTCAGCGTATTCATAACTCCTTGGAAGCTACATAATGTAAGCAGTTTCAACGCAAAAGCGATTGAACACTTGGTGACCTTCCCTCGTAAGTGTTACATTTCAACAAGGAGAACATTCGTAGATGATTTATTCATATGTAGAGAATCATGAGAATAATATAATGCTTTCCAAAAAGATGCCGACTCTTTTCTAAATTTATTCAAGATAAAGGCTTTTTTTTACGAATATCTTCTAGCTGAATGATTTTCGAGAAAAAACAAACATATTTTTTTCACTTCGTTCTGCAATTTTGTACACATGAGGATCTCACCTAGACTACCTGACATATCAAAATCTCATTAGTTTTGAATATTTACAATGCGAAATTCAAAATTGAAGAAATTTAATATATGATACAATCTAATGAGAGAAATACTTTGCGGCTGAAACATTCAGGATATTCGAAAAGCTATTAGACCTATCTATAGGCAAAATTTTGAATCAAGTCTCCTTTATTCGATCTTCCAAGAAGTACTAAATGGATCTAAAGTCCAGTACATTAGTCATAACTCAATGCTTAATCCTTCTAGACTTCCGCTATTGTAATTGAGACCTGCCGGTGGATCTAATATAAATTGAAATAGTGGGTGTCACTTGAGGCAGTTCCCTCGTAAGTAAGACTTCGATGTATACAAAGTTGTTGTCGCTAGACCGTCCTTCCCCCGAACCTATTTATCTCACAACGACATTATCTGGTTATTTTAATTTTACTTCCTGTCAAAGAAACGCTAATAGTGTTTCAAAAATCGGTTTCTGTTCAAATTTATCACGAAACTGTAAAAATTGGCGAGAAGTTGGACATTTTTTCGAGGGGGTAGCCCTCGGTCTAACCGAGAATCTTGCATCTATATCAAAGGTATAAATTTGAAAAACTTACGTTACACACATATTTTCTTTCAACTTTATCATAAATCTAGTTTTTATGATCTGTTAGTAATATTATATCATTATATAATGTATAGTAAGCTTGAGACAATATCGAAGTATAGTGATCAAATAATAAAAACTATTAAATGTATATTTCTTGTTTAATTCGTAATTTCAATCATTCAGTACGAAGTCAACATAGCTGAAATGTTATGTGCGTCTGACACACATTAAATAAGTCTTATGTTCAAACCTGAGCATCAGTACTTTTATCTTATATGCTTAAAGTCAAATGTTCATTTAAATAATAAAGATGATTTTAAAACTCAAATGATGAAAATATATGTGTGCAATATTTCATAACCTTATCAAGGATATGTTGATTACATATTTTCCAGTGTAGTTCTGATGAGTATTTAAAATCTTCAAGTATGATAACGCTTATTTTATATTCTTGCTGTGTTACAATGAATGTTTTTAGCCAATAGAAATTATATTATTTGAAAAATAATATTAAGAATTTCAGTTGTTTTTTAATTGTTCTTGTTTTCTTTTATTTAGGTCTTTTCTATTTTCTTGGTTCAATAGTTAACTTTAGTCAAGAACCAGATGTTCATTTTAAATATATTCAAGCAGCATGTAAAACAGGTCAAATAAAAGAAGTTGAACGTATTTGTCGTGAATCAAATTGTTATGATCCTGAACGTGTTAAAAATTTTCTTAAAGAAGCAAAATTAACTGATCAATTACCATTAATTATTGTTTGTGATCGTTTTAATTTTGTTCATGATCTTGTTCTTTATTTATATCGAAATAATTTAATGAAAAATATTGAAATATATGTTCAACGAGTAAGATAACAATTGTTATTGTTGTTTTTGTTTCTCTTGAATTTAATTAAATTTTGTTAAATAGGTTAATTCAGGTCGTTTACCAGTTGTTGTTGGTGGTTTACTTGATGTTGATTGTAGTGAAGATCAAATAAAACAAATCATACTTTCAGTTCGTGGTAATTTTAATGTTGATGAACTCGTTGAAGAAGTTGAAAAACGAAATCGGTATGTTAAAATAATAAAATAGAGAAAGAAAAAAATTTTATTTCCTTACAATTTAGAATGAAATTACTGTTACCATGGCTTGAAACTCGTGTTCATGATGGTAGTAATGATCCTGCTGTTCACAATGCATTAGCTAAAATATATATTGATTCAAATAGTAATCCAGAAAAATATCTTCGTGAAAATCCTCATTATGATAGTCGAGTTGTTGGCAAATATTGTGAAAAACGTGATCCGCATTTAGCTTGTGTTGCATATGAACGTGGTGGTTGTGATATGGAACTTATTAATGTAAGTATACAACAAAACAAAAGAAAAATAAAATCTTGGAATGATGATAATTTAAAATAATATGAATTCTAAAAATGATATAAATCTTTTTGTATTCGTACTGTCTGACCAAGATTTGTCAAACAAAACACGATCTAAAAAAAGTCGTGAAATTTAGATATAAAGATTTGAACCCCTTCACAAATGTTGTTGATATACGATCAAAGATCGTAAATTAATAAAATATTGTTATGCTATATGAACTATTTTCGTATTGCATTTCTGGAAGAGAGAGTGATGAAGCAAAAAAAAATGTCATAGAACAAAGAAATTTGCCTGTGATTAGCAACTAAATCGTGTTTCACATTTTAATTCCATAGGGATTTCGCTAAGAGATTTTTTTCTTTGTTTAGGTTTGTAATGAAAATTCATTATTTAAAAGTGAAGCACGATATTTAGTACGTCGAAAAGATCCAACATTATGGGAACATGTTTTAAGAGAAGATAATCCATATCGACGACCATTAATTGATCAAGTTATTCAAACAGCTTTAGCTGAAACACAAGATCCAGAAGAAATATCTATTACAGTTAAAGCATTTATGACAGCTGATTTACCAAATAATTTAATTGAATTATTAGAAAAAATTGTTATTGATAATTCTGTATTTAGTGAACATCGGTACGAAAAAAGAAAATATTCTTTATCTTAACTTTTTTTTTTTTTTTTTTATTTTCATAGTAATTTACAAAATCTACTTATATTAACAGCAATTAAAGCTGATCGTACACGTGTTATGGATTATATAAATCGTTTAGAAAATTATGATGCACCTGATATAGCTAATATTGCTATTAGTAATCAATTATATGAAGAAGCTTTTTCAATTTATAAAAAATTTGAAGTTAATACATCAGCTATTCAAGTACTTATTGATCATATTAAAAATTTGGATCGAGCTCATGAATTTGCTGAACGTTGTAATGAACCTGGTGTCTGGAGTTTATTAGCTAATGCTCAAATACGTAATGGTCTTGTTAAAGAAGCTATTGACTCATTTATTAAAGCTGATGATCCAACATCATATCTTGAAGTTGTTAATGTTGCATCACAAAATCGTAAATTTAATTTTTATTTTGAACGATACAAAAAAAAAAACTGTTCACTTGTTTTTCTTGTTTATGTAGAAAGTTGGGAAGATTTGGTTCGATATTTACAAATGGCTCGTAAGAAAGCCCGAGAAACATTTGTTGAAACAGAATTAGCATTTGCTTATGCAAAAACAAATCGTCTTGCGGAACTTGAAGAATTTATTTCAGCACCTAATCATGCACAAATTCAAGCAGTAAGAATAAAGATAAATAAATATATCTGAGTGCAAATGATGAGATAATTCCGGTTGAATAAATCAACCTGCTGAATTCAAAGCTTTTTTTCATGAATGAAAAATAGATAGGGGCCCTGCTCTGATGCACTTGATGATAAATTAATGAATAAATTTCTATGGGCTATTTAATTGATTGTAATCAATGGTGCGAAAATTTCTGGATAGAATGCTTGTTTTATTATTCTTTGATGGATTATAAGAATCAGACAGCAAAAAATTTTAAAGCATTGGATTAAAATCAGAATTATATGTTCTGTCAAAAAACATACAAGGCTCGAATATTAGGAATTATGAGTAAATCTTTGATGAACGACTCGCAAAATAAATTGTGCTACTTGCTTGTTTTCGTCATAAAAGTGCTCAATTCAGTTTATAAACGAATATTTTCAACTCATCAATCGTTTTTTTAAATTCGGGCTCTATGCATTTTAATGAAACTTTAACCCTCAACGTGATATATACCAAGCTGGGAGTTAAACTTTCAGTAAAATATACAGAATTCGAATTCAAAAGCGCAATTGATCAGTTAAAATAGTTCCATCGTAAGCTAAATTTGGTACCTTTGTGACGAAAACAAGAAAATAGCACACAATTAATTTCAATTGGGGTACGACCAGATTTGCTGTTTCCACAGCTGTGTTAGTTCAATTACTTTCACTCGGAGATTATTTTTGGATCTTTCAAAAATTTGCTCATAATTTCTAGCCTAGAAATATCATATATATATTTGGACAGGACCAGGGTGGCCAGATCTTCCGATATGGCAGGAAAAATTCCGATTTTTGAAATTTTTCCGACGTTCCGATTTTTTCCGATCACTTTCCGATTTCCTAATTTCTCTCCGGTTTTAGGAGTTTTTTTTTAAATTCAAGTTTTTGGAACAGTTTAGAATAACTTAACGATGACTCAATACTACATATATATTGTGAGATCTTTATTTTATTATAATTATTAGATAGCGCAGGGTCATGAACTCAATAAAGCACACTTCAATGCTCTGAAAGGTCATCCTCTAATAAAATTAAGATGGTTTAGAGACAACAAAGATTCAGTTCTATCTCGATGAACTGATTTTCTCTCTTAGTTTACTGTATTGATAATTGCAACTTTNTAGATAAAACTTTCAGGATATGTTGGGACTAGAAAGGGGAGACTACCATAAAATTTTCAGCCTGAAATCGTCAGGTTTCAGGGAGATATGAGCCAAACAAGGGTCAAAAATGACTCATTTGGCATCCCAAATTTCTCGGTCCTGGTTCGTTCAATATATTAATATTTTTTTTTGTTGGAAAGAGCATCTCAAGATGCAGGGCATGATGGGGCCCTTTTTTTGAAATAGTCCTCTTTTAAGCGCAAAAAAGAGATCACAAGTTCAATGGCTGCAAAAAGTGTCAAAAAATGGTAACCAAATCATATAACTGGCTGTATATTGACCAAACAAAGGCTTAATTAAAAAAAAGGGCCTCATCATGCTCTGCGCCTTGAGATTCTCTTTCAAACAAAACAAAAATATAAATACATTGAATGAACCAGGAAGGAGAAATTTGCGATGCGCTTTTGAGAAAGTGGAAACTGAGAGAAAACGGAAAACATTTTTTGATTTTTCAAAAAACAGCTGGTTTTTCGAATAGGGAGTGACGAAAATCTTCGAAAATTTTGGACAAAAAGGAGGTATCGAGGAAAACTTTTTATCAGTTATGAAAGAGCAGATCACGGACTATCTTCCCATGTATTTATCTCAATTTCGATGATTCTGACGAAAAGTGACTTTTTTTGAGGGAGAGGAGCCTTATTAATGAATAATCTTGCTTAATTTTAACTTCGTCTTAATTTATTCGATTATTAAAAATTAAAAAGCTACAGATTATTTCAGTTCTAATCAATAGAATTGTGTAATAAAATGCTGCTAAAGCAATATAATATGAATAGCTTTCTAGAATACAATCGAAAAGAAAACAATAGATGTTCAAAATAAGCAGGTCGCATAATAACTACGTATAAGAAAATCAAATAATGTTGAATATTTGATAAATTACACAAATATCATTCATCAATGATAATTACATATACGAAAAAAAAAACATAGATATACAACAAGATAAAGACTTTTAGAAACTGTACAATAGAAATTCAAAGTTGTTGTTTTTATGTTAAATTTTTAATTATTATGTAATTTGTATGTCTTATTGCATTCAAAGATTTTTTGGTCCTCGTTGAATTCGAGTTGGTGTTACTGAACCTTCAGATGATGTTATTTGATCTCGACTATTCTCATTTGAATAATATTTTTCTTCTGTTGATGAAGGTTTAGCTTTTTGCACTGGAACAGGTTTTGGTGCTGGTCTATATATCATTAAATCGAGATTTTGTGTACTACGAACAGTCGACTGATTTAATGCAAGACATCGGGCAACCAGACCAACAAGAATCATTACACCAATAAAGATAAATGCAATAATAGATTCTATTGGGACAAAATCAGGTTTTGAAGTTGATGATGAAGACATATTGACACTTGTAAAATGCTTTTTCCTCTCACATTTTCTTTTTTCCGGCTTAAATAGTACTTTTTATATAGATGTCATGCATTACATATAATCTCTGGTTTTACTCAACTATTAAGCAAACATTTACATTTGTGACATGAAAACATTTCATGAGCTTCTGCTGGAATATAAAAAAAAAAGAATAAAGCCTACACTATGACAAGAGAAAAATTGAGTGTAGTTGTTATTTTTATCAGAATCTACTAGTAATGCTTATATAAAGAAAACGAAGAAAATAGTAGATGATGTCTGCTCCATAAGATTTGAGTAGTTCAGCATTAAAAGGATTCTTTTTTTTTAGTGTTTAATACAAAGAACAGCATTGAAATATTTCTCAGCCATAAAAAACTAATAATTCAGTACCATTCATAAATAATATTCATTAAATAAATACAAACGCGTTTGTTTGATGACATTAACTATAATGATTATTTTTTTCCATGGAAATTATTTTCCCTACAGAAGAGAAGACCACCCACAAGATTAAAGTTTTCCGGAGAAAATAGAGATTAAATTTATACGAAATGAAAACAAATCGATGAAAAATGCAAGGATATGCATATTTATATTAATTAACGAAAAAACTTATGCCAAAGCCAGCTTCCTTGCAAACTTTTAGATTATGAAATAAAGGCATTCCTCATGAGCTTCTATCCTGTCGGAGATGAATTCAATCAACGTTCGTATAACGTGATATAACAAAGTATTGTAACCTTTTTTTAATCAAAAGGCGACAGCATGTCAAGGTGGATAGTCAACAAAATTCTTTTTAATAATCTTGATAAGCCAAAAGAAAAACTTCATATGAAAGCCAGTTGAAACTCATGATGATATGTAAAATCTCTGCGGCAATAATATGCCGCATTACAAAGAAAAAAAATTAAGTGAACTTTCTAATTTAAAGTAAATACGATGCTTCGGAACTATTCAGAACAACATCATCATTGTTGGATGTCTTATAGAATCCATAGAGTCAAAAAAACAAACGTGATGCACGATTTTATTGAAGAATAATTTAAATGACTGCAATTGTAAAATGAATTGATCATATTTAACCATTTAGCTTTTCATCATTGTTCTTTCTAAGGAATATTATTTTATTGATTTGTTTTTTGAAAAAAGACCTATTTATATTCATAAAATAAGACTAAAATAGACAAAAAATCAGAATCTGTATCATTTGATTTCAATTGATTAATAATATAAATTCACTCACAAGAAAAGAATGGCGATCATTAATGACCTTGCTGCATATGAAAATTACATAAACAAAAAAATTTTCAGAATCATAAGGTAAACTAGTAAATCGCTGACCGGTATTTTTTGTCAAACGAGTTCAATCGAAATATTTTTTAAACTATAAAATTCCAAGATACTAAATCTCTTGTTGATATTGAGCAAACAATAAATGTTTTACTTTCTACTAGTATAAAGTTTTCAAGTTTCCTTATTTAAAATTAAACATATTCAATCACGTCTTTTATCATTATGCTAAAAACCAAAATGTGTACATCATGAATAACTATTAAAGTATTATTTCCAACATTCCAAGCGCATATATATTCTATACCTTATCCATTTCTAAGGGAGTTTCCAGAAGAACAATATTAAGTAGAAGTCTGCTGTTCCCTTCATCTCGCTTCTGTGACATAAACCAAAACATATATATGTAGTAATTAAATACACTGATTTTTCACATTATTATATCTCTACTGATACAATGTTCTTACAGAAATCTTTATTACCGATTTAAAACTAACTTATCTTCGCTCATATATGTGACAGTAGAGCAGTGGTAATACTTCACCAATCACATTTCTATCTGTTTCACAAGCAATTCAACAACAACTATTGTATTATCTTCATACGTTCTATTATATTAGGACAAAATAAATACAATGACGTGTAGAAATAAACAATTTTTATTTTATTCTTTCAAAGCTAATATTTTGATTAGTACCTTCAAAGAAACACTAAAATCAACATCAATACTACATAAGATAAATATCAAAACTAACATCACACCAATACCAATACTTCAAAAGTAATATTAGTTTTGGTGCACATCTATCCTCTAAAGTTTGATAAGTCATTGTCAAGATTATTATATAGTCAAGATGCCAAATAGATTGTTAGATTGTGCACATTAGTCTATAGAAGATAATTGAAAAACAATTTGTGTGAATATTTTCATCATTCTTCATCACTTGGTGAGACACCTAAGCAATTATCAGCCACAGAAAAATAACAATCGAATACATGTGGTGAATGATCTTCATTAAATAAATATGCAAAAGCTCCATTCTCTGACGGTATCCATGATAATTCATTATTTTCAGTAGATAATTTTTCAGAAGGATTAATAAAAGCAAAATATCGTGCACCTTTTTCAAGAAGATACGGTAATGTTACAGGCTAAAAAATCTAATATTATTGCAGCTAATTATAAAAAGAAACAAAAAGTTACTTGAAATCGATTTTCTGCCCATAGTCGATGCGTGTATTGTTTTCGCCAAGAATATGGATCTTTAAAAGTTAGTCCGTTTTTAGCAGGCAGACTCAATGAATTAAGACGAATAAGTCGAAGTTTGTCAATATTATTGTCATCGGTATTAAAATATGCAAATCCACCTATTTTGAGTAAATTTGACTCGTCTGAATCGCGTGAAGTAACGTCATCATCTTCACTAAGTATACATTTCGGTGGATAGAGCCAACAAAAGTGTGTGGCATCATCTGGAATATTTGCTGTTGAACGTGCACATCCTTCAAGAGTAATTGAAGCGATTGGAGCATAGCTACCTATTATTTGTTCTTCATCAGTTAATTGTCGTCCTCGAATTTTAGTAATCCTATATTGAAATGTAGATGAAATTAAGTCAAATAAAATATCAACTTCATGAATCCCTATATATAATTCAATGAATATATTTTTAGAGAAAGTCATTAAATGCTCACCAAAAGGTCCTAATGAATCCATAGGTTGATAATGAAATTTATTGTTATCAGATATTTCTTGTCCTACTTGATATACCCAACGATGATCTTGATAAAATATCAAACTATCGTGTGGTATTCCAGCGTCTTCAAGATTTTGGACTACTGTGAGTGGAAGCAAATTAATATCACTCATTTGCATCACGTTTTATATATTTGTTAGTCTTGTATGAAATCTCTTTTTTGTAGATTGTTTTACGTTCTTTTATTTACCATGTCCAAGTAAAAGATGTATAGCAAATAGGTTTCTCTCCTGTTTTACAAAATAAAAGAAAAAGAACGAAATGAGTATGTTAAAATGTGTCTCAAAATAGAACATTATTTCATAAAAAATGCATGACAACATACCAAGGTTAGGGTTGAAAAATGAAACTCACACGTGTTCTTTATCGTGAGTAAACTAATACAAAATATATGAAGTAAAAATTCTGTAACAGGCTGTCGTTATTTTTTAGGCGTAATCGATCATCAACGGAACAATCTGTCTCATTTATTTCTACATTTCGAACACTAAATGCTCTTTTTTCTTTACATGCATGCCATTTTTTTGCTGTTTTGTTACTTTTTATTTTCGTATTCCGTTTTTCTTAACGAATCATAAGTACTATTATAGTAACCATTGATTTTACTATGAAATAAGCCGGTTGTACATATCTAATCATATCTATGAAAAGTCTCAACCTACCATGAAATATCTTGATAAGTTTAGAAACACTGATATGGATTTTTTTTTTGAAAGGTTTAACCCTACCTCAATCGAAAATAATCATCCGAAAACTCAAAATAAAGATGATAAAATATTGTATATAGAAATATCGAAGAAAATAATCTTTAAATAGATTAAAATATCAAATAATATATCTGACGAACTGCAACAAGATTGAAAGGCAACAGTACGACATTGATGAAATGTCCTATTTATAGAATTCATTATTTAGTGATAGATAAAGAATCTGATAGATTTATTTTATTTGTAGTATTGATAATATGCATAAGAAAAAGAAAATGTTTTTTTTTGTCAGGAGCCAAGATGAAATACTAGGAAAAACCTTAAATAAAAAAAAACTAGCTAGAATCATGCAAGCTTTATATCGTTTTTTTATTTGAACAAGATGTAACAAGCTGATAAGAAGATTCAATNTGTCCTACTTGATATACCCAACGATGATCTTGATAAAATATCAAACTATCGTGTGGTATTCCAGCGTCTTCAAGATTTTGGACTACTGTGAGTGGAAGCAAATTAATATCACTCATTTGCATCACGTTTTATATATTTGTTAGTCTTGTATGAAATCTCTTTTTTGTAGATTGTTTTACGTTCTTTTATTAACTATGGTAATGTTAGAGTTGAATGGCATAAAAAATGTCGAAACTAAAAACGTCGAAAAAAGCGTCGAAATAGAAAAGGTCAAAATAGAAATGCCGAAATAAAAAAGATCGAAAGATGAAAATATCGAAAGAAAAAATATCGAACGTCTAAAAATGTCGAAAAGTTCGAAGATGGTGTAAATAAACAATTTAGTATTAAATTGTATCCTATTGGTAGCTAGCGTTACCGTACGATATTCTTGATAATTGTTCATTATATGACGCGACTATTACAGTAATAGAAAGAATAATCGTCGACAAACAAAAAAATCATCCGAAGAATTATTTTTTTAATCTATGTATATCAGTTGGTTTTTCTTATAGATTTAATAGTATTTGTTAAATGTCGATCACTAATGATAATCCATATTTTCTTGTGTCGAATAAAGGCAAGCCTTTAGTAGTTTTAAATGGTATTGTCTTTAAAAATAACAAAGAAACTAAAACTAAAAAGTATTGGGTTTGTCAAGCAGTTGGATGTGGTGTCTACGTGCACACGAGCATGCAAGATGTTGTAGTGAAGATCATCGGCAATCACAATCATTTGCCGGTTGTATGCCTCATCGCCGAAACTCGCGCCGAAACAAACATTACCGAAAAGAAAGATCGCCGAAATCAAGATTAACGAAATACAGATTGTCGATACGAAGTTCATCGAAATGCAGATCGCCGAATTCATCTCGATCATCTACTAGCTTATTAGAGTTAGCACTGAATCAAGTTCGTGACTAATTTCACGTGGTTCCTAAGTAAAGCTAGTAGCTGACATGGCCAACTTGATCCCTAACTTGATCAAGTTAGTAACTATCTTGATTTCTAACTTATTGTATCACTCACTTAGGTTAGTTGTTAACTGGTAGTTCGATCATTTGCATAAAAATTGCCGATAGTTATATCGCCGACAGTGACACCGCCGAAAATACAGATACTCGATAGTCACATTGCCGAAATGGTACTTTATCGAAATGCAGTTCGCCGAAATTCGGCGAACTGCATTTCGACGAAGTGGCTTTCGGCGAAGAGCATACTGACCCATTTGCCACTAGGTCTGATTTAAAAAAATGTTCTATTTTCAAAGCATCAAAAAAGTTATTTACATTTGAATAATCCAGCTATCTTATTTTAAAATTTTCGACATTTTTTTTTCGACCAAACTATCATTCGACATTTTCATCATTCGATGTTTTTTTTTCGATCTTTTTAGCATTCGACATTTTTTTTTGATCTTTTCTATACATACCTTATAGTTTATAACCAGTGTGTTTGTCTTCTGAGTTATAAAGAAAAGAAAAGCGACAAGATTTTTCGTAAAACACATAAAAAAGAACATTATTTCATATAGAAAAAACATACCAGTGTACACCTATCATGGTTGAAAAATGAAACTCACATGTGCTCTTTAGTCTCAGTATATTAGTATAAAATGTGTTAAATGTAAAATGTATTACACCGTATGGTTATTTTTGAAGAACGTTCGGCTATCTGTGTAACGATCTGTTTCATTAATTTTCGCATTTCGAACAGAATTTTGTTTCTTTCTTTTTGCAAGCGTTGTGTTTGATTAATTTATTTCTATTCACTCTTTCCTTTTTTTTTTCATGGTGCGTTTTTCTTAATTTTACGTTATTATTAGTATTACATCTATTGATGTTACTGCGAAATAAGTCGGTTGTACACATCGATAATATTTACAGCAAGTCTCAAAAGACTGAAATATCTTAATAAGTTCAGAAACATTGATATTGATTTTTTCCCCAGGGGTTACCGTACTTTGATCGAACAAAAAAATATCGAACATGAATAACCTCGAAATTTGAAATAAAAAAGATAAAAATGTCGTACATAGAAATATCCAGAAATAATATTGAGATGAATAAAAACAGAGAATAACAAATTTGTCGAACCGCAACAAGATTGAAAGGCAACAGTACGACATTGATGAAATGTCCAATTTATAGAATTCATTATTTAGTGATCGATAAAGAATCTGACCTATTTATTTCATTTGTAGTATTGATAATATGCATAAGAAAAAAAAATTGTTTTTTTTGTCAGGAGCCAAGGTGAAATACTAGGAAAAACCTTTGAATAAAAAAAAACTAGCTAGAATCATGCAAGTTTTATATCGTTTTTTTATTTGAACAAGATGTAACAAGCTGATAAGAAGATTCAATATATTGATAAGACCATCATTGTATCAATCGTAAAGAATAGTAGTTAGATTTTGTATTGCTGTGAGTGTGGTCGTAGATATTGAATATATTAGCACACACATCTACACCTAGACTCACGAGTAATACCTTAGAATAAAAACAATCCGAAGAGCTAAAACTTTGACAATAAACTATTCTTATAGAAACTTATTTCTATCTAAAGTTTTCTAATGGAAACTCGAAAGTAAGTTTTCCCTGTATGCTTGAAACGATCACAGTATTTTGCTTCAAAAATAGTGTAAAAAATGCAATATTTCGACAGTAATAAGCTCTCAGTCGAAACTCTTTTTCAAGGAGTTAATATCTCATCAGAGCCAATCCATGATGCACATAGTACTGATTCAAAAGCAATTTAACAGTTGGAGAATTTTCCTCATTAGCTAATAATATACATGGCCAATATCTTGAGACCTGCATCGAACTCCAAAACCTAACTCAGATTCCGACGTAGTCAGAGTGGCAACACTTTTTTCCGTAGTTGAAGTTGGAGCTGCAAGATGGAAAATGCTCTGCATCGGATTTGGACTTCGGAATTAAAAGGTTTGACCCCGCAGGTCTCAAGAGATATCACTTGTATTTATATCAGAATGCAATCTAGTTATTGTTATTTTTTTTTTGATTGATCACAATAATTGTTTGATGATGAAGTATATTAGAGAAACAAGATAGAACTTTTTCACGACTGAATGATAATCGTTCTTGTTTTTCGTCTAAGCGTCATTCTGAGAATAGTGCTCTAAACCAGGTATTTTTGAAGATCGTACAATGACTTATATAAGTAAAACTCTGAGAAGAGATAAGTTTCAATGAAAACTGAAGTGGACTGGTTCAAAACAGTTGTATTTCAATAATCACTGAATAGATTAGCGATACAACTGAAATACGTTTCAATATATTTATTCGACGATATATCTTATAAACAACAATTCTAAATGAAACATCAGAATATAATTTTTTGTAAATTTTATTCTTTTTAGTGGTATTATAGAATAGAAAGATGTTTGAGCAATATATGCAGATGCAAAGGATTTGATATATTAACATGTTCGTTCGCAAAAAATTTGGCAAATTTCTTTTTCCTTTGTTTTATATTGTTCTTGATATCACCTTAATGCTTGAAGTTAAACTTAACAAAATTAGCAAGGTACTTTTGCATTTTTCTCTTCAGTGCAACGTATGTCGAAATTCTCCATTACTTTTTGGTTAAAAAATGGATGAGATAGAATATATTTCTTGTTCATTATTAAAATAAAGAATAAGCATTTAAGAAAACGAATAAAATATTGATGTGTTTATTTTAATGTATCAAGCATACTCCAAACTTTCTTTCTCATATCGGGAGCAGTTTCACCATAATAGTTATTTATCATAAATGAGAAAACAAACGAATTTTCTTTGATATATCCAGCATAAGCAATAGTATTCAATAATGTTCCACTTTTCATTCGAATTCCATTAATAGTCGGCAGAGCTTCATAATAAACATCATCAAACCATGATTGTTTTTGTATCGTAAATAGGATTTGTGTTAAAACATATGTACTTAAACGATTACTACGCGATAGACCAGATCCATCTGTTATTGCTACACCTTCTAACGAATTATTATTCGTAAGTAATGTATTAATATATGATGGAAGAATTTTCAAAGGAGCATCAAATAATGAAGATTGTCCTGTTTGATGAGCAATTGTTTTAACAAATACTTCACCATACATATTAATACTAATGCGAAGAAATTGTTCAAGTAGTTTTGATAATGGAGGTGATCGATGAATATTTAGTAAAGTTAGTTTTTCTTTTTCATTTGATTCAACTGTTGCTTCTTGCTCTATTTCAATTCCATATGTTCGTAAAGCTTGAGTTAATTCATCAGCAACATATAATGCCGAATCAGGTACAGCACAACGAAGATTAAAATTCGGAGATGCATGAAGTGGCACAATACCACGTAGATAACCAACATTAGAACCATCAAGAGAAAAATAAAGAGATGCTTCACCATCTGTTGATGAAGTAATTAATTCATTAAGAATTTTTAAACGAGGTGGGGAATTTTTTATTGTAATAAGACGAGCAGGTGCATTTACAACTGAACCTGGTTGAACTTCAATAGTGAACTCATTCTCTCGCCAATTTAATGCTGAATGACCAGTACCATACCAATGACTAAAATGAGTTATGAAATATAATGTAGGACACATTTTAAATTCTTTCTGTCGAGTATAGTTTAGTGTAGAAAATTATTTTTCTAAAATATTATAATTAAAACATACCCAATATCATTCCATGTCCATCCATCAATGAGAATTGTCTTAGTATAATTCCATCGGCTAGTATCACCGATAATACCTCGACATTTTCGAATTCCAGCTTGTTTTATAGCTTCTACCCATTTTTGAATAATGAAATCTGCTGTTGTCGTTTCATTATATCGCCAACTGCCTAGTGATGGATCTCCACTACCTATTATGTATCAATAAAATATTAGAGAACATCAGAACAGATTTTATCTCACCAACAATATAAATATATCCATCAAGAAAGCCTGTTACGGTATCTATTTTACCCGAATATTGCAACAAAGTTTCATAAGTATAATCGGAACCAAGATAATGCAAAGCAGCAGCTGCCGTGATTGTTTTAAGTGTTGATGCTGGTGCAAGACCTAGATCTTTGGCATGTTCAAAAAGTATTGAACCTGTTCGACCATCTAATATAGTCATTGAATATGCTGCATGAGCAACATGAGGATCTCGAATGAATTGTTGCCATGCATTAGAAAAATTTCCTAATAAAAAAAAACAAATCAGAAATATTTATTTACAATTGAAATTATGAAAACAACATACCAATATGATCCATGACAAAAAGTGATGACCAACCAAATAAACGAAGAAGAAATTGAATCTACAAATGAATCAGTTTCATCTCGGATAAGAATAAAAAAGAATTGATTCTCACCACACGATTCCACATTATTATGCTTTCTTTTTACGTCAAAATATAAAACTTATTTTTGTTTTAGAAATATTTATAACACCAAAGAAAAAAAAACAAAGTACACAGAACAAAGACAAAACAAATATCAGTAAGATTAAAAAGAACGAATCGAATATTTAATTATAAATCAACATTCAAAATACAAGTCATCTATGTAACTATCGATCTTGCTTCTTGTTGAATATTTCATTTCTTTTTAATGGAACTGATTTATCATAATCTTCAGATTCACTTTCACTTTTAATACCATTATTATCTTGATCATTTCATCGAACAGATCGTACTTGAAATGCATATGATTTCATAGTTAATGTTTCATGCTTTCTTGAAACTTCAAACATATCTCGTATATCTTATGCGGTGTTCTATTTTGCATTTTATAAATACACGCATTAAAATGGTGTTTGATCGACTCTTATTCACATTTTGCTTCGATAATCCATACATGCAAATATTATGGCAACAGAGCATTCTTTGATCTTGATAAAATGATTTAATAAAAGGTATCCTCCTCTTTTTTTAAGCACTTCTGCCTCTCGATAAGGATACAACCAATCAGATTGAAAGTCTTTAGCACAGATAAAGCACGTAAAATGGAATGTGTTCGACGAAAAAAAAATTCAAAAAAAAAAGTTTTTTCTGGGAAAGCTCTGCTTTTTGTGGGACCCGCATTTCGGTAGATTATGTACCTCGTCAAACTTTGTTCGATTCGGCTGAAAACTTTTTCGGAGATGCGTAAGACTATATCTCAGAGATAGTTTTTAGCTTTTTGGAAGCATCACTATCTTCTTCTATGCGAAAATATGTAAAGATTTGCAGCTAAAATGAGAAATTTAACTTTTAGAATCCTATAAATACAGGCACGAAGATGAACAACAAGAACGGCCAATTATGTCTCTGGAGAATGCTTCCAGGCATTTGTGGCAAAGGTTTCATTCTAATCGACTGTATTCTCTTCAAGCACTAGAATTAGTCAACAAAAAGAGGAGAGATACCTCAATGAATGTTTATTAACTATAGAAGTTTCGAGAGATGATCGAAAGACAAAAGTATTAATTCAGATTGATGAATAAGAATTAGAACTAAATGAGAAACACGTTGTTCAACTATACGTTAAGAATTATTACGTCAAAAGAAATTTTATAAATATTTAGCTACATGATTATTAATAATAGAATAGAATTTTATTATTAATGTATAAGCTCATAAAATATAGGGTGTCCAGAAAATCATTTGACAAAGGAAAATTTGAGTTTCTTTGCCATATTTCGACTGTATGAGCTAATATTTTTACCACTGATAAAGTTATGTTCATTGCTTATTTTTATAATAATAGGAACGTTGTTAAAACTTGCTTTGAAGTATTTACAATTGATTTTAAGAAGAAATTGTAATTACTCATAGGTTATGAAAAAATAATATATTTATCCCCTTATTCAAGAATAGACGACATCTAATTTATTCAATTAATTGTTCACACTAGCGCGTCGCTCGGGCTCATATTTATACTACAGATACATGTACTATTACTTAGTGTATTCTAACAGTTTCAGCCATAAACAGCAAGAATATGTTGACAACACTACAATTTTACTTTTTCATAACTCGTGAAATGTTATAGATCGTTTGTTGAAGACATTCGTACTACTTAAACAATTTTCGAGAATGTTTCTCTTATAAATACGTATAAACTATGAACAGCCCTTTATCAGTGGTAAGAATATTACATATAGTCGAAATATGGCGAAAATATTCAAATTTTGCTTTGTCTAGTGATTTACTTGACATCCTATTTACAAATCATGACTTCACCGAGAGAACTGAGCCTTTCTCGAACGAAAAAATTGAACTCGAGAATTTCTACAAATCTTCTATACAGTCGAATTGCTGAACTTCAGAAAGTATTAGTCTATTTTTCTAAAATTAAGCTATTTTTTTAAAATGGTCTTCCAGATTAAAAACATTGAAATCAATCAAAGATTAACGCATAGTTTTATTATGGGTTCAATATCTTCATCGTTAATCTAACGCACATCGTTGAGATCATTACAAAGCTGTACGTAAAACCGTTATATAACCACCTCACCCACAAAATCATGAGATTTATCTATTAATGCAGATAATACACCTTTACCATAGCAAGTTCTAACATTTCATAAAAACTCAACTGATGTTGTATGTTCTAAATTCAGTAGTAAAGCTAAAAAACAAACAAGTACAATCGTCTAGTACACGAAATATTTCGTTAGCGCATTATTATGGTTCTTCATTGTACTAGTATATCTCGATGATCAAATTTTATGAAGAATTGAATCTAAAGTTAAATGTAAATAATTTATTTCTCTTTTAAATCAATCAAATTGAGTATTTTTCTAAATTAACTTTTGGATAATACTAAAAAAAATTAGTCAATAACTATGTTTTTGATTATTATTATTTGACTGTCAAATATGATGAGATTCATTTTGTAAGACCAAAATAAATATGCTTGATCATTAACCCATTGAGTATGGGCAACGCGAATTTGCGTCCTGGTATTTTGGGACCTGAATAATTTTTAAAAAAACACGATCTATTGATTATTTAATGATATAAATTGCATGAGTATTTGCGTTTAGGATATTTGTACGGTTAATATTATCCATACCTAGTGATTGTAAGTTTGTGTGTATAGGTGTTTATTGTAGAGGCAACAACAAGGTGAAAGAGAATATGAGAGAAGAGAAGAAGAGAGAACTACACACACATATACATAGATACACACCTATATATACAGGGTCGTGGTAAGGAATGATCCCATACATAAGAAGAAAGGAAAGATCCATATGTATGTGTGATAGAAGAACGAAGGGAAATGTCCATATGATGTCAACTGGAAAAGACCAATACATTGTGTATTGGAAGAATACCTACAGTGATGATTGTTGGTTGTTCCTCAGTATTTCTGGGAATCAGCACTTGATTTAATGAGTTAGAACATGAACCAATTTGACAACATTTATCGAGAAAGACTCATCGCTCTCGAAAGATTGTTTCGTGTTACGAAAATCGTTCAAGAGCACTGTCTATACGAAAAATCCTGATCAGTTGATCGAATTTGATAAATCATACAAAATGCATTTTTTGACATATAAGGTCACGAAGAACAAAAGTCTACCACCTTTTGAAAGTCCACTTCGACTCACAGCACGATATTTCCCTTCGCGCAATGCATCAACAGCAATTCAAGTAAATCCAAGAAGAAAATGTTACGTTTGTGCTAATGCTGTGAGGAGAGCCAAATCAAGAAGAGATACTTCATATAAATGTATTGAATGTGATGTAGGATGGTGTCTTATAGATCCTTTTAAAGACTATTGCACTCTAAAAGTATTTAAAATCATGTATTTCATGATATTTTTTGCAAAATAAATGTTAATTTGAAATTATAAAAACTTTTATTATATAAAAATAATCCCGTACTCAAAGGGTTAATGTACCTTTCTAATGTAACTTCACAATTATTAACAACAATGATAATTGAATAATGATTTTTACCATCGATTTCAATCAATTGACTTGTATACTGGTTAACACTATTTTGAATGTTATGGAATTATTTTGTATTATTGTCTATTATAGCTTGATGTTTTATTGAACACATATTAGTGTAACTATTTATGTTTCATGTAGTCCAAGATAAATTTGAATGAAAATATTGTTCTATATCTGAAAAGAATTGAATATTATTCGATAGTGGCATTCTTCCACTGAGATAACGAAAGAAACAGCCCGTAGATATTCCTCTAGGAGATGCTTCACTGCAAATTAACGGTAACATTTAAACTAATGTTTCACTGTCTAATTAGATTATCTGTGTGAAAAGAAGAAAAAATATGTTCTACATAGCAATGTTCGTTATCAAGAATTGAGATAAAGCGAACTTTTGTAATACTGCTAAAGAAATATTTATTGAGAATGTTAGTGAAGTTCATTATATAAAACTACAAGATAATTTTGAACATAAAGTAGCGTCATGTAAAAACTCATTTTATAAGATAACGTCGAATATCATCAAGAATCGATAGAAACATATTGCGAAGAACAGAAAGATGCCAAGGCTCCATCAGATGTAATTTCAATAAGGTAGAATCCTTAACTGATCGGAGAATTTTAGTTTTCACTTGATCTGATACAAATTCAAAAAGTTGCACTTGACACCTGATATATGAATCGATAAAATTTTGTCAATGGTTCACTTTTTGATGATCATAGTCATTGGTGTTTGCAATCTCGAGTGAGCCTTTCATTCATTAGATCACATTGTTGTATCCGAATATACGTGTTTCCAAATAATCGAAAGAACCGTAGCGATATTACGTCGGTGTACATGAAAAACTAGAGCTTTGTAACCATGCACAGTTGGTTGCACAATGTCAAATATTCATGGACCTAAAAAGTTGAAGAAGATGTAATTCACCACTCTTCAATTGCATTTAAAAATCTTACTATAAACTCTATTTCCATAACTCAGGTTATTTTTCGACCGATCAGTACCATTATTGCTATCCGACTTATCTCTCGAAGAAATACTTGAATCGTACTCACGATTACCATTTGCATTGGTTGCTGAAATGTTGTTATTTAGATTTTCAAGTAATAGACGGTCACAATTATATTTACACTTTCTACGAAACAATAGCTCATCTATTTATTTTCATATGACCTCACAGATCTCTCGTCCATCTGAGGAGTATTATTCAGCTTTGTCTGACACACCTGAAAATAGATTTTCCATCATAGGAATATTTTCGAGAATAAAAGTTACTTTCTGTAAAATGTTTGTTGAATTCACTGCCGTTGACTGTGTCACATGATCCAAA